GGAAATCCCTCCATTGCCCCTCCACGCTCCTTGTTTGCAGACGCATCCCGCCTGGAGCGCAGCCCTTTGCCAACTGGAGTGCACGGCTCTAGCATCCTGCTGGAGCCAGGGGGTGTGACACCCCCCGCGCATCCCTGCATCCCAGCCTCCCCCGCAAGGCACCCATGGGTGTCCAGGGCAGCAGATGGCCTAGCAGCCAGGACATGATGGATTATCCGGAACGGTCCATGGTGGGAATGGGCCATATGTCAGCCCTGCCGCCAGGGAGGGGAGGTCAGGCGGTCGCCTGCCCCATCCACACATTCCCCCGGGATTTTCCCTTTGGAGCTGGAGGGGAGATGCCGGGCAGGAGCACGAGGACGGGGTGCAGAGGATGCCCCAACTCATCACACAGCCAGTGGCCGCAGCAGCCCTGGGGAGGATGTGAGGCCATCTGTGCATGGCCATGAGGCCACCTCGGGCTGGAGGTGACCGTCCCCGGCCTGGAGACCAAAGCCGGCTCCCCCCTGCTCCAAGGAGACCCTCCTGCCTCTCCCTAAATCCCAAACCAGGCAGGGCGATGCCGCACGCAGGCAGGAGCAGCCCCTTCCTGCAGAGCAGAGCGCCCGGAGGCTCCGGCCCCATCCCTGTCCCCTTCCCCTTGTGTCCCTGTAGGGGCAAAGGGCGCGGCGCTAATCCCCAAAGGCCCCGGTTTTAATCCCAACTAATGGGCTCCTTTGATGGGATACAAAGGAGCCGGTGGCCGGAAGGGGCTCGCGGCCCCCAGCCCCAGCTGGTGTCACTGGAGGCTGTGGGGACAGGGCTGAGCCTGCCCCTCCGTGGGCACCTCCCACCCTGGCCTTCATCTCCTCCTCCTCCTCCTCCTCCTCCTCCTGGTGCCCGGGCTCGCCGTTCTGGCCACCCTGGGGACCCCCCCGGCTGCTCCCATCTCTGCTCAGGGCTGGTGGCCGCTGGCTCCCTAAAGCCCCAGGCCACCCCGCTGCAGGGATTGGGGATGGAGGGGAGAACCCCAGCCCCGTTTGGACCCAGCTGCCCCAGGTGCGGTCACCATGTGCCCTGCGTCCCCACTCCTGCAGCTGCAGCCCGGTTTAGGTATCCCGAGGGCTCCCGTGGTGTCCAGCTGGCGCTCGGCCATGCCATGGAGCGGTGCCATTCCCGTGCCGGAGTCATGCGGGACCCGCACGGGGGGAGCCCCAACGGGCCCCTCGGCGCCCACCGGCACCGCTTCCCCCGTGCCGGGTAAACAGGAGCCTCTCCGCATTGTCCCTCTTTCCGGCCGCTTCCTCCAGCCCCACTTGCTCCTTCCCCGCAGGAAGCTCCCACATCCTTCCCTCATCCCTGACTCATTTCCAGCCCCCCGAGGCTTTGCTGTTCCTTCTGTCTCCTTTCCGGGCTCTCCTGTGGCCAAGTCCAGGCAAGGATGGCATCGGCACCTGGCACATCTATCCATGTCTATCCCCGATGGAGCGGGTGCTGCATCCTGTCCCGTGTCCAGCCGCGGTTCAGCGGGAAAGCAGGAGCCCAACGGAGCTGCTGTCACCAGCTCCGTCACCTGCACTGAAAGGTGCAAGAGGCTGTGCCCACTGGAACAACTTCCCTGTATCCCAGTATCCCTGTATCCCTGTATCCCAGGGCCTTGCCTGACACCAGGAAGGCTGCATTTCCTGGGCCCGGTGCTGAGCACAGGCACATTCATTGCACCTGTGGCAGCAGGGCTATGCTCCACACGAGGATGCTCTGGGGGGTGGTTTTCCCCTCCAAAGCCGGATGCTTTTCCCAGGGTGCCCAGGATGCATCCTACATCCCTGCCTTTATTTTGGACGCCGGCCTGGCGCTGAGAGAGGGCGACTTCAGCGGGGGGAACCTCTCCCCGAGCACAACTCGCCCCCCGAGCCCCCCTGCCTGTTCCCGGGGCCACCCTTTGTTTGCCCCCGGCTGCTGCTCTTTAAATTCTGACTAATGCAATTTTAATTAGGTTGGGGGCGCCTGCCAACTGTCACGGATGTCGCCCGAGCACCTCTGCGAAATTTCACGGCTCATATGGCAGCGGGGCCGCCGGGAGCCGCTTCCCGACACCGCAGTTTGTGGGGCCCCAATGGTCTCTCCTTGCGGTGCCAGGGTGACTTGGGGTGAAGATCCATGTCCCACCAGGTGAACGGCCTGTGGCTAAGCCAGGATGCATTGCATCCAGTAAGTTGGGATGCATTGCATCCAGTAAGCTGGAATGAACTGCATCTAATAAGCTGGGACACACTGTGTTCCTAAGTCGGGATGCTTTGCATTCAGTAAACTGGGCTGCAGTGCATCCACTAAGCCAGAGAGCATTGTATCCAATAAGCTGGAATGAGCTGCATCCAGTGAGGTGGGATTCATTGTATCCAACAAGTTGGAATGAATTACATCCAATGAGCTGGGATGCACTGTATCCACAAGCCAGGATGCATTGCATGCAGTAAACTGGGATGCATTGCATCCAGTAAGCCAGGATTCTTTGCATCCAGTAAACCAGTATGCATTGCATCCCATTACCTGGAAAGTGCATTCAGTAAGCCAGGATCCATTGTATCCATCAGCCAGGATCCATGGCATCCAGTAAGCAGGAGGCAGCGCATCCCCAGCTCGCAGCTCCTCTCCTTCCAGCGCCGCGCCGCATCCTGCCGCCCCCGCAGGGAAGCGCCGCGCTTGGTCCTGCTTTCTGGAGCGCTGCTATTTCGGGCTCAGCCCCGCAAACACCTCCCACGAGCCCCTGGCCGTGCAGCCTGCAGCAGTGAAAGCCCAGGAGCGACGGGGATTGCGGTGGCTGCAAGGGGGGAGCCCCATGGCGAACCCCCTCGGGTGCTGTGCCCGCTGGGGAGCCCTGCTCGCTCCCTATATATGGCAATTAAACGTGTTTTACCCCAAATAATCACGTCTGATGGTCACAACGCCGGCTCTCCAAGGCATCCGCAGCAGTGCAGCCTTGCCCCAGCAACGCCTGCGCTGGGAGACAGAGGTGCAAGGGAGGATGGTGCCTGGGGAAGGAAAGTTTGGGGTGCAAAGCGCTAACGTGGCCTCTACCACGGGCTGCAGCCTCCATGCCCACCCCATCCACCCACATCCCGCGGGGCTCCTCGCCTGCCCCAAAACAAGAGGATGAAACGGTCGCCGCACCAGGAGCATGAAATCGATTTGTGTGCGTTTCCCCGGGCTGCATTTGATGTTCCCGGCCCGTTGCGAGGCCGTTTGCAACGTGGGGCTCCGCTGTGTCCTCCCCCGTCCCACACGCAGCTCACGGGCATTACAAGCCCCATAGTCAAGCCTGATTTCATGGACTTGGCTGGAAACCCTGGGACTGAATAAATGAAGCCAAACCGCAGCAAAAAGCACCCAGGCAAGCAAGAAACCACGGGGTCTCTCTGCATCCAAACCGGGCAAAACGAGGGTCATTTGATGTCCCACAAGCCGCTGCTTTGCATGGATGAATCACGGGGCTCCTCACGAGCCGCTTGGATGAGCATGGAAAGCCCTCGTTGTTAAGGACTTGTGCTGGGACTGCGCCGGGATCTGTGGGATCCGCAGATGGGAATGACCTCAGCAGCAAGGGGGAGGGCTGGGATGGGGGCAGTGCCCAGGGAGGCTCCGGAGCCGAAGGTGCCCTCGGAAAGGGAATATAGGAAGGGGAGGGCAGGGCCTTGCTTGCCACGCTGGGCTCCCTGCGGGCGCCCGGTCCTGCTGGGCCAGGCCGTGCCAGCCGCCCCCCCGCAATGCGGGGAAAACAGAGGGATTTTTCTTTTTCCCCTGCATAATTGTTGTTTCTTTCATTCTTCCTTTCTTTCCCGCTGCACAGAAGAGCTGTTTCTTTCCGGCCTCGCCACCATCTGCCTGCAGAGGCAGGCGAGGCCGGTGGCGACGGGGCCGCGGCTCCTGGTGAATCCCAGGGCCGGCTGTGGCTCCAGGGGGGTGCGCGGTGCAAAAGCGAATCCATCCTGGAGAAGGGCGGAATTTTTTCGCTCCCACCTGGCTGGGTGGCTGCTTTCTGCTTTGGCTGCCTTGCAGGCTGGTGGCCTAGAGAAAGAGGATGTTTGCATGGGGGGGTCCACACCCCCAGTCCTCACCAAAACCCTGCTAGGGGATGAATCCTCATGGAAACCCTGCTAGGGGACGTCCCCTGTCCCGCCTGTCACCCCCTGCGCTCAGGGAGAGGCAGAGAGAGGCAGGGGCGGGTCTCGCGGTGCAAAGGGGGGTCTTCAAAGGCGGGAGGAGTCTTGTGATGTAGGAAGGTTGCAGGGGGAGTCTTGCCATGGGAGGGTCTTGCAGTGCAAAGGGGAGTCGTGCAGTGTGAGGGGTGTCTTGCAGAGGGGAGTTTGTGGCTTGGGGTGGGGATCGAGAGCCTTGCAATGGAGGAGGGGTCTTGCAATGCAAGGGGCTCATGCAATGCAGGAGGGGCATGTGCAGTGTGGGGTAGTTTCTGCAGTGAGAGGTGTTATAATGCAAGGGGGCTTGAATGGAGGGGGTCTTGCAGTGCAGAGAGAGGTCGTGCAGTGCAGGGAGGGGACATGTCCTGTGTGTGGGAGTGTAATATGAGGGGACTTGAATGGAGGAGGGGTCTTGCAGTACAGAGGGAGTCGTGCAATGTATGGAGGGGGGTCTTGCAATGCAAGGAGGGGTGTGTGGTGCAGGAGGGTCTTGCAATGAAGGAGGGCTTTAATGGAGGAGGGTTCTTACAATGCAGGGGGATCGTGCAACGCAGAGGGGCTCGCGCAATGCGGGGTCGGGGTCCGGCATTGAAGGGGGGACCTGCGGAGGGGACATCCTGCCCTGCGGGGGGTGTCACGGCGCGGGGCCGCGCAGCGCGGGCCGGGCCGGG